TGTGTGTGTGTGTGTGCACATTGTAATGCATGGGATCATTTTGTTTTGGCTATAGCATTTCAGGGAACTTTCCATAGGATAAGGACAGACTGCAGCTGACATACAAAACAACAAGAGCCAGATAAAGCAACTGATCCAAGATTAATTGGAAAGGCAATGACAATTATTTGACAACAACAAGTCAAATGAGAGGCCCTCTCTTTTTAGTCAGTTCTAATTTTGTGCCTGTAAACAAACAAGTTAAAAATAGAAGCTCTCAACGCGGTCAAGTAAAAACCTTCTATGAAAGCAAAAAAGGGTTTGTTGTAATCCTGTGGATTAATGGATTTGACAAGGGCATGTGCCTAGTGTAAGTAATAGAGGCCAGATTACATGTAGATAAGGCTGTGGCAGGGTGATCTGCAGGGGCTCAAGGGCTCAACCTTCTCACCAAACAAAGATACTGTATGTGTCAGCCAAACTGATGTGTTCAAGAAAGAGCAATATCATACCTTTTTGCAAATGTGCTTTAATACCGATTAACATGACTTAAGCTTGTACCTATACTATTTTGATTAAAAGACACTTTCTGATAGTGTCACATTTGAAAGCAACTAGATTAACTGCAGCGGTCAAATTCACAGCAAAAGTTGAGCGGATTTTCAGCACTGAAATCACTGTGAAAGAGTGAAATATTGACAGATGGGAGAGCTGAAATCTTTTCCACATGCGAACCAAGAGAGATTTGGACAAGTACAACTCAGCAGCCCCTTCATTCAGTTCATTCACACAAGCAAAGTGGAGGCGAGGTTTAGCCCCTGGTAAATCTGGCCTAGATTAAAAAGGTCTGTCAACTCTTCCTCAAATGAAGCACTGGATAATCATATTAAGCATCATATGGGCTTCCAGTATTCACTGTGACATCATGCTAAGCTGGTACAATAGTGGCATGTGCCAACAGCCTGTGGCCAAAGCAGTGCACATACACAAGTAAAAGTTTGGACAAAGTGTACACACAGAGAAAATTAGCAGTTTTTTATGCCAAGAGTGACTGTAATTGAGGGATGTGTTCAAGGAAGGGAAACAGACTCACCGTGGCAAGCTCATCAAACTTTCCAAACAGCTCATTTAGCAGTTTAACCAGTTCCTGGGCTGTGCACTGGGAGGCCAGGCTGGTAAAACCGACTATATCTGCAAACAGGATGCTGCAAAAGAGAGAGAATAAGAAACGCTTGAGTCAATGCAGGTTATTTGTCGCATGTTATACTGTATATAAGAAACAACATTATTAGGTGCCTGATCAGATTACCTCTTAGGAATCTGTTTAAAATGACATTACGGAAGCCTGAACTAAAATAAATGTGAACATTCTCTTTGGATCATGTGTTTACAGCAAACTAATAAAACATTCAAATTAATGACTTGCAGCAGCAGAAAAAAAATGTAAATTAAAGAGAGAGAGAGAAAGAGAAAGCCTGCTCTGTTCTCTAACTGACTGGCAGCGCAGTCAAGCAGAGCGACTCAAAATAGAAGCGAGAGCATTCTCATGGGGATCAAGGTGGAGACTTGTCCTGTTAGGAGCTGGTGAGGAGCTGTTCTAGGATATAATGCAACCATCAAGACGCTGTCACCGTCTCCAAGTGAACTTGTATTCCCTTTTGACAGTTGGTCTTAAAGTGCTTGAGGTTTAAAGTTAAACTGAAATTCAATTAATAAGAAATCATCATATATATCTTTGTTTTTTGTTTTGACTTGTCTTGTGCACTGATGTGGTCAGAAATAAGTAACGTGTAGTGGAAGCTAGTAGAAGCTAGTTAACCTAGCTTGCTACCTTCCACTTTCCTAATGAAATACAAATTTAATAGCACAATAGGTTAGATGTCTTAAATCACTAACAGTACATAACCAGCACTGTGTAGCCTAGAAAAGGGTAAAATGTATTGTATCAGCATTCAGAGACTCCAGATCAACACTGGTCCTTAAGTGTTGATCACTGCCATGGGACATGCCTCCCCCAACAAGGTAAGTCACTGTTTCCACAAATACATCCAAAAATGTTTTGTTTTTTTATGGAAAAGTTTGCACAATTTGCCCGACATATCAATCTGACCCAGAAGCAACCTCCGAGTGGCCCACCGTATGTAAATCTGATGTATGACAAAATACATGTATGGAAGTAGCCAGGGAGTTAGGCATCTCGCTTAATTCTTATCTCTGTGGAGAGTTGCACATGCGTAGTACCGATTGGGCAGGATGTAGCAACAACACCAATGATATCTTTCACACATCTCTCATGCAAGTTCTGACCACACTTAGTAGCTTATCAAACCATCACAAATAGGGAGATGTTCTGCTAAAGATATGTCTCTGTCAACCCTGAAACAGAAAATTGACACTGAAAACCATCAGTTACTACTTGCCAAACCCTACATGGTCTGGCAAGTATTATTTCACCCCTATCTCCAATGTGTTTAAACCAATATGTTTATTTTGCAATGCGTGCATTGTGGTAGTTAAAGAATGTAATATTCAGAGGCACTACATTGAGAAACACCAAACTTTATGACAAAAGCTTTAAAAAAAAGGTTTTGAATAGGCAGCTGAAAATGCCCATCCCATCTACATTTTCTAGTTTTTAAATTATGGCCCAACTGAATTTGTAACTGAATAGCCCTGTAGGATCTACACTTTCTTCTGAGCTGTTTGCTGATGATCTTATTCGTCATGTTTCTTTAAAAGTGGACAACAGGCCCTGGGGGAAAAAAATAATACTTGTGCTGAAATCTATGGTGTCTTGATATGGTCCTCTTGCCCCTGAGAGATGACTCATTATCAATCTGCATCAGAGCAGACCAAGAACTTTTCCTGTGAAGGATTTGCCCTGAGTGCTGGGTGGCGATGGAGGGTGTGAAGGGGATTAGTCATCAAACTGACTGTCCTGAACAACTTGCATGTCTGCGGCTCTCGTACTGACGGCAGACTGCTGCCTGCATGTGGGCTGGAGTTTTCACAATGTGACAGAGTGCTGGATCTTTAAGGGGGAGCTGCTAAATGTAATTTTGTTGTCTCACAGATGTCACCGTAATGAGGGGCAATGGATTCAATTTGTGTGAATGTTTTAATTGGCAACCATCTGTGGCTAACAAATATTTGTTAAGTTAAATACTGTATTACTGAACTGATGTTATGATGTATTTCATACCAGTGGACAAAACAATACACCTTGTGGGCGGATGTGTCTCAGGAGGTAGAGCGGGTTGTCCACTAATAAGAAAGTTGGCGGTTCAATCCCCGGCTCCAAATTGCTCCTGATGCTGTGCCACTGGTGTGGGATTGTGAAGGAGTATTAATTTCTGTTTCTGAAGAGCAGTTAGCACCTTGCATGCCATTAATGTGTGAATGGGTGAATGTGACATGTAGCCTAAAGCAATTTGAGTGGTCGAAAGACTAGAAAGCTACAGTCCATTTACCTAATATCGTATAATGTCTTATGTTATATCTTTAATGTATGCAGTCAATCACCCAACAACAGAGCAAAGAGCTGGATGAAAAACAAATTGATTCTAAGTGATCAACAAACACTACATATGCCCATTATTTAATCCCTACAACTAACACAACACATTCTGTATCATGCCTGATCCAGACTCCAAGCCAAACAATTTCTTGTAAATTGAATAAGCCATCTTGAAAGATTAACTACTGAAATGAATGACAGAAATGTAAACTCAGACAAGCTGATTGTAAAATGAATCACCGTTTCACAGTCCCACCTGTAGTAATCATTCAAAAGCCAGTTGGAAATATGGATGCGGTTTAAATTGGACATATATATACAATATAATAATGATAGGTGTGAGGACAGCTGTCAGTGCACTGTTTAAAGATTTATATGATTTACTACTACTACCAACCATCTTCTCACAAGAAAGTATCTTTACATAGACTGCTGGCTATGAAGATTAGAGGACTAAGTTTGATTGTGACAAACGATTCAAATTATTTCTGAGCTCTGTTTTTTAAAATTAGCACCACGGCATAACAACGTCTGCCCGGAGCAGCTTATATTGCATCTACCTCTGATGTGATGCTATTAAACAGGCAAGATAGTTGCCTTCCACGCATATTTTAGGATGATCCCTTAGCATGTTTGCTAACAGACTCCTGCAAAGTGACATGTATAAGTTCATGTTTACTACACAAATGTAGAACCAGCAGACTGTAATTCTCATGATGACAGCATGCCTTAAATTCAAGTGCTCTTTTGTAAGATAGCATTGTATAAATAGTCTCTCCACATTCTGTAAGACTTTCACGCCCATACTGGACTCGAAGCTAATAAATGTTGTATGTAACACAAGTGAAAGATGCACAATTGTGGCACCAACTACAAGCAAAATTTCACCGGGGCAAACAAAGGTTTTTGGATTTTTCTGCAAAGAAGCTGAAAGAAAGTATGATTGAGGCTCCTACATGTGGCTGTGCATGAAGCAGCTATGACGTGCTGCAGAGAGCACCCCACTGAGTGCATGGTCCCAGTGCCACATAACCTCATGTGAACTTCAACACAGTCAGTTATATTTGGCCTCATTTAAACCACATGCACACCATTGTCTCCGCTTTCACGTGAGGCATGCATGGAGCACGAGGTCTGTGTTCCATTCAAAGTTCAGGTCAGGAATCGCAACATTGTACTGTTAAAGATGGAGATGAAGGGTTGCTGGAAATATGCAACAGAAGAGCTCTTTAAATCAGAGTGATCAGCAGAAAACTTACAGAACTATTTAGTCCCTGATTTGCAATGATAAAGAAATCGACTGTTACGTCAGTATGGTGGCATATTCTCTAAACTGTGTACAGCACTAGTGTAAAGGTTTGCGACCAGCATGTAATATAGGCCAGAAGATGCTGCTAAATTAAAAAAAAGCCACAAATGTTTGTGTTAGTAACTGCATATTCAGCTAATAAAAACATTTTTGATTAAGTACCTTACCAACATGAACAGCCTGTTCTGCTTAGCACATCATAAAGGTACACAAATCCAGGAATACACATTAAAACACATAAGTTTATTTGCTAATTAGTAACTGTATCCATGTGTGCTAGGGCAGGCAGATACAATAAATCATCAAGACAAATATGAGTGTGGTGTGTGTGCTGAGCATGCAGTTTTGTTTTAAGGATTTTTTGGGCTTATTTTGCCTTTATTTGATAGTGACAGCTGGAAACTGACAGGAAAGGAACTGGTTGTGTACTCAACCAGGAGAGATACTGAGCACCCCCCAAGCATGCTTAATGCCACAAATGTATGGGGTTTATTTTGAAATACACCGCATTACTTTTAATATTATATCTGCAAAACATGATTTTTTTCAACACCCATGTGCAAAAGCGCTAAATTGTACTTTATGTAGAAGACTGCCAATGAAATCTGACATAAAATTAGCATTTGCGTAAAGAACAGGTTACACTGAGGAGTGTTACATCCGTGTTATTATGAGCTGGACCACTGAAATGCACAGGGATCGCAGACTGTGAACTTCTGTATCTGATTTTGAATGTCCTCCGGAAAAATCTTCAAAACAAACACTGCGGCACTCTAGGCAACAGCTACAAGTTACTCAAGCTGCAGCCGTTGCCTACCACCAAACCTACTGTACCATATTCACTTCTCAAGGTCAAATCCTCATCCCCAATGCAAGAAAACTCAAAAGCAGCCAAGGCACTACATTTCAAATGATTAAGTCATGTAATACAAACATGATTTTTCCCTGGGTAACTAGAACTTGTCTAATATCTAATATTGTCTAATTCAAGCTCCCTCACATCCTCATCCATTATTTCCTCTCCAATGGTACATATTCAAGGAAAGTTATTCCCCCATTTATGCTAATCTCCTATTTCCCTATGTGGGAGGCATTACTGTAGCTATTTTGGCTGATGTGATTTCAATTTAATCACATAGTGGAAGACGCAAGCCAACTCAAGGGTTAACTTTGAACGAGCCCCTCTGGAGCTACAGTATGTGGGCAGTGTAAGTGCTGATGTCGGGCCAATAAAGGCTACCACAGAAGAGTGTGCAAGGTGCTAACAGTACATTTTAGAAAGATGAGCTGTAACTTTCTTTGCGATAACGTGAATGAGCATCTACAAACCTTATAAAATCTCCTGTCAGTGACCCAAGTAGGTAATTGTGGAAACAACATGGAAGGGATCTCATTCGTTTTTCTAATAATTGGAATGAAACATTATAAATAGGCATGCTGGAAATGCTTGTGAATTAAAAAACAACGAGCTGTGAAGACGCATGTTGAATTAAAGGGGGTGCTAAATTATAAAGTAATGACGAATTAGAAAGCGCTTTCATTAAAAGAGCGATGTGATATTAAACAATGCATGCTCATAATTTCTCACTGTTTTCACATTATAATCATGTAAATAATAAAAATGCTATTTATTAGAGGTGACTTGATGAATTAAGGAACAATTTTGAATGAATTACTGTTGGTTAAAAATGATCCTTTCCTTATAGCAATCACTGTTGTTTTTAATTAAAAGCATTTTTAAGGATTTATATTTTTATTAAATGTATCTAACTTGAATGTAACTGTTACTTTACAACCCCTAAAACAATCAAGGTTTATGTCAGTATCGGGCAATAATATCCCACATTTCTTGTTAAATAAACTTTTTTACTTTGGAGTCCTTTTTTTTTTTTTTTGTGAGTGATTACTACAATATCCCCCTGGCTGGATTTTAATCAGATCAAACACTACTCACAGTCTTAGAACATAATAAAGAAAACTGAGTACATTGTGCCGCACACTGTTTACTTTCTAATTACGGTCCACCCAAATCACATAAATCATGTCTGCATCCAGTCTAGATCACTCTCAAAGGGTGGCGCTATCTGAAGGAGTTCGAGGCACAAAAGCAATCAGCAGAGCTCCACTGAGATGTGTCCATATTTAACCACCGTGCGCACATAGGCACACACACACGTACAGCGTTATGCAACAAGAATTTAGTCTCCATTGCATTTAATCCCCTGTAGCAACTTAATCCTGGGGCTAAGCAAACTCTCCTCCTCAAGCCTCCCTGCTGCTCTGAAAACACAGAGGGAAGGAGGAAGATGAGAAGATAAGAACGAGAAACAAGGAAACGTTGGAGCATGATAAAGGAGATTTAATAATACAGTAAAAGATGCAGATTAAAGTAGGTGATGAAGTGGAGATTTAAGAAAAGAAAATCGGAAATTGCAGAGAATGGAGGAGTGAATGTCTGCGTTTTCGTACATACTGTTTACATTTTAACGCCGAGGGGTTAAAGGGTCAGTCACAGCCAACTACAGATGCAGGATTGTAACTAAGTACATTAACTCAAGGACAATTTGGAGGTACTGGTACTTCACCTGTGTATTTCCTTTTGATGCAACTTTATACTCCACTACATTACAGGGGCAAATATTGTACTTTTTACTCTGCTACATTCATCTTTACAGATTAAGATTTTACATACAAAAATATAATCAGTTTAGAAAATCAGATTTGTTGCTTGAGGTAAATCTACCCGACATTAAAATGCTGCATATTAAGTAATTTTATTTTTGATACATATTGCTGATGATACTGTTTTTATAATATTATAAATGCTGTATTTTCACTTGCATTGGAGTATTTTTATGTGCATTGGTATATTGCTACTTTTCTTATGTAAAGTATCTGAATACAGATTGTAAAGCAGCCCAATGACGACATTAAGACATTAAAACTGGAACATTTTTGGTTTGTTCGCTGGAAGGAGGGAGGGCGAGGTAAAGAAAGTGCTGGGAGGGATGAAAGGAGGGCATAAAGGTGGAAATTTACTGAACTGCATGGTTTTCCAACCACTGCTTCTATAAGCCCAAATTGTGTCAGCTTTGTTTTGATTCAGTATGTTAGCTAATGTCTTCTGAAAAAGCAGTTAACTTCTCAAAGAGAGACACTGGAGGAGAGAGGAATAAATAATATCAATTAACTACCTTTTACAGCTAAAAATACTGCCGTACCCACTTTGAGATAATTTGTATGCCGTAGCCATTAACCCGTAGCAAAAAGTAATGATCTTAAGACAGAACGCATTGCTATTAAACTGTTGGGAGCTTGGCAACTGTGCAGGACATTGCATAAGTGCCAGAGGAATCTCTTCCTCACTAAGCATTGCTTAATGTGCCTTTCTATTTTCCCAGTAGGATCCCTAACTCCTAAAGCCTTGTTTCTCCTGGGGGCTATTGAGATATTATGGCCCACAATTTGGCATATGCACCACTGGCATATTAGCCTTAGCGCAGCAAAAATATTGCCTGGATTTGGGTCAGTTCCTTGTTGGTCATATAGCATTTCTCTATCATTGCTCCAAAATTTGCCACCCATGTTAAACAAATGAAAAGTGCAACCTAATGTCTTTGGACTTCAGTGTTTTCAGGACTGATAATAAACAAGTGAGTCACGGGCCAACCCTTGATATTCAACATGAAGAATTAAATATTTCAGTTTTTGCCGCCTGGGGCCGTGTTAATGTTTTAGGACACTGTTGGGTCAGATCACACTACATTGTGTAGCCCTCAGTGTTCTTTCCAAAGGACATGTTTGGTCAAGTTACTCAGTTCCCTTTTTAGCATGCACCGTAATGCATTGAGACAGCGTTTATGCCACTATTTCAGCTAGAAATTCTCCCATGAGGAGAAAATAGCATCTCCAAATACCACTGTTAAAAGCAGTATTAGTTTAGTTAATTCGCAGTTAAGAGGGGTTTAAATATCACTGCAATTGGTCTGTAGTTGTGTTGAGTCAATGTGAGGATCCTACCTGACATTGTCATGGCGCTGGATGTAGATTTTGTGAAAGATCCTTTCAGGGGGCTTCAGGAAATCCTCTTTCATCTCCATAGCTACGTTCCTGGGCAACAGACTCATTAGCAGGCGCTCCTGTGTGTGTGTGTGTGAAAGAGAAGGAGAAAAGATAAAGTAAGTTTAAATATACATTTATACAGTCAAACACAGCAAAGTTATCATAGGACAAAGTGTTAGTAGCGCATAAGAAATGTGCTAGACATAAAGGCATGAAATCTATCAGAAATGAATAATGTGTCGAAATGACTCACAGCACAAGAGAGAGAAAGAGAGAGAGAGAGAAAGAGAGTTGGGGTAAAAATAACAAAGAAAACATAGACACACAATTTTACCAATAGTTTCAGATGTGTACAGGTGCCTGTACCTGTTTCTCGTTCTCATCCTCCATACGGAGCCTCTCTTCAATACAGTTGCGAGCCTGCAGGAAGGCCTTCCTCTGGGCTCGTTCTGTCAGGATGCGCACAAACAGCCCTGACAGGTTGACACTGGTGAACAGCACTGTGTTGGCAACCAACTGCAAACAGAAAGGAAAAAAAAACATGAAACACACTGTTTTCATTTTTTTTAGCAGTCATTAAAGACACACACAGTGTTAGGAAATCATTAGGAGATGCTGCGAATGTCCTGACTGTTTCTGTGCTTGTATTCATTCTTATGTATTTTCTGTGTGTTACTTTATATGCACATGTGCTTAAGAACGATGAATGAAATGTTAATTTGTATTTTTATTTATGTACATAAATAATCAAATCTTAAATATGTCATTTGATTAATATTCTGTTTATACATCTGTATTTGTGCACAGTACATTCTTATTTGTATGTATACAGTAATACAGTCTATACTCACGTACATATGTGACAGTGTACCCCTTAGTGTCTTTAAATATTGTGTATTTTTTTAGATTTTTTTTAGAGTTAGATATGTATATTTATTCATTAATGTATATATAATAAATTCCACAAATATTATATTTTAAACTTTTTTATTTTAAATTTAGTTTTTTGTTTTGTGATTCACTGTTTTATTGTTTTTCTTTGTTTTCCTATCTATCTCCTATCCTATTGTGTATGCGTCTGTCGATCTGAGTAGCAAGCTACAATTGCCTTTACAGCATTTACTTTTTATTATTTTATTTTATTTTTTATTATTAACTGTTACATTTGGAAAATATGCCCTATATGGCTACGTATAACTATTCTAATCACAGATTTTACTTTCACCACTTTGATTCCCCCATGTACTTATGGTGTAAAAAGATACTAAATGAAGAGCAACAAACATCCTCCTACATGAGAGATGGGTGAGAGGGTGGTGGGGTCTAATATTTCTCTATTTTGGGGTCTGTGACATTAAAACGTTTGAGAATCTGTGCTCAGGTTCATCCATCACAGCAGATGCACAGCAGCATGACTGCTTCAACCTTGCGCAGGACACAAAGAAAAGAGCATTTTTTTCTACTTGGCTGAGGTCGGCTGGCTATGACTTTGTACACAAACCAAACAAGGTCCTGTATTCACCCATAGAGTGTATATTAGCAAACTGTCACCCCAGGCAGTAATTATATATTTCTAAGAATAAAGGGCTTCATTCTCCTCATATCTTAGGCCATTTATCAAAGTGTTTTGTACAGCAATAAAAAATATAGTGTCATTTAAGGGCATTTATGTTGCAGTGAGCTTCAAAACTATACTGTCAAAGCTTCATACAATATACACACAACTTCTCAAATTTAACAAACTTCTTTCGCCACAGACAGGCATGTTTCCTAGTCCAATGAATAATGGATTGCCTTGAAAAGACTGTTTTTGGCAGCAGCAGTCTGTCTTTGTGCTTGGCAGCACTGCTGGCAAGCATTAACATGTTCAAATGATTCTCAAGTTACTTTACAGCCTTGAGTTAGTAAATGTGGACATCTGAGTTGAGTGGTGTAAAGCAGTCACTCCCCTGCTTATCTGTGGTGATAACCCCAATTTCCTTTCAGATTGCAATAATTGATGCTTAAAGCATTGCACTCTTACCCATACACGATCAGTAAGATAATGCTCCCTGTAATTGTAGTACAGTGAGGAAATGACCACCTATACATTAACTTTTATTATGTAAAATAATTATTTTAAAGGTCCAGTGGGTAACATCTTCTGGCAGAAACAGAATATAATATTTATAGGTTTGTTTTCATTAGTGTAATCACCTGAAAGTAAGAATTATTGCATTTTCATTACCTTAGAATAAAACATTTTTATCTACAGAGGGAGGAGTCTGTCATGTTGAACTGCCATGTTTCTACAGTAGCCGATAATGTACAAACAAAACACTGGCTCTTAATAGAAACTTTTACATTTTCTGTGGGTTTTGTGGCCACTGTAGTTTCTCCTAACTGCTTGGAAGGCTGAGCCATATTCAAATTGTTGCAATCTGCAACTTAAATCCTACTTACTAGTCCTTTAAAAGTGTATTGAGATGGTGAATGTATACCTGTAGCACTGTATTGTTCAATACCATTTGAAAATGGGGATTTCATTTAATATGCATGCTATGACTGTTGTACTTAATGTTAATTGGCAGCAAAGTAAAAGGCCTGGTTACATTGTTTATAGCAGTCATTATAATTATATAGTGCATTGGATAGGGATCTAATATAATATTCTTTCACTGTTGGTTGTAAACTAATGCTATATAACTCTTTGACGTATCAATAAAATGTAGCACTAAAAAGGACAGTCTACAGTCTTCACAGACGGCATTCCAATAGGGAATTAGATATAACCTATTAATCAAGTTATATTCTCCAACATTTGCTTCACTAATAAGATATTTCAGGTAGACCGAGCCGTGAAAGCGCACAGTACTGTCGGCTGAGTGCCTGGGACCTAGGTGGGTGGTTGGTGCAAGCCTGGGCTGTGCGGGGTCATGCCACACAGCTCATCTCTAAGCTTAATGGATTAGCTATCTCTGGTAGTCCGGCTAACACTGTCCTTCACATGGATATGCAGGTATCTCATAGCCTACATACAGGAAAACAATCTCCTCGGCAAATACGCTGTCATCATCCGAGGGCGTGATGAACTGATCACGTCTCAATTTCGTTTCCAAGAAATGCACAATCTTCATGTCATAGGCTGCACAGAGGCAGAAATGTTCTATTACCCCTGGAGGGTTTGACTGATGTGACATATCTTCCTTCCTCACACCTGATGACAGTCAGAAATATGAGTGTGTGCGTGTGTGTGTGTTTCATTTTGACAGAAAGGTCCAAAGATATAAATGTACAGAAAGTGGTGTACCAATTTCTATTTCAGCTCAGGAAATGGCATGCATGACTTTGCCCTCTTTTTTTTTATAACCGAAGCATATAGTGTGGTGAAAGTGGTGTGTGATTGTGTGTGTGTGTGTGTGTGTGTGTGTGTGTGTGCGTGTGTGTTTGAGTGTTGCCCCTCTGTTTGCCCTACTTCTGGTGCTAGCAGGATGTCACTCTGGTTCTTTATTCCCAGCCAGGTCCTTTAGGACTGAATGATGTCCCCAGGGCAACAGCCACGAGCATATACAGACTGCTTTGCTCTTTCATTTCTTTTTCTCTTTTGTTTGTTTTTATTTTTAGGGGCCTGCAAGAATGCATCACCACCAGCTACTGCCAATACAGTATAGTCCACAACAACCCTCAGTAAATACTGTAGAATTACTTACAGGTGTTTAAGGAGTGTCAGAACTACATGCCATCAGAAGTTAAGGTCAAACTCCTCATCTACCATTTTTCTTTATAGTTGACATGAGCTATAGTATTTTTGTAACCAAAACAGGCCCTGACAGAATTACACTTTTGTCAGATTTGATCAAAGCCCGGGCAAATCCCATCAAGTCTAACCCCAGGGAACTGTCCTTGGTGCTGAACTGAACTCTAAATAGTGTGCTCCACTGCATGGGCCTATATCATTTCTTAAAATACTGTATGTGTCTGTAGATGGAGCCAAAATAAAGACGATTACAGACCTTTTCATTCAAAAAACAACAACGCATCAACGCACAGACCCCCTAAAGGCACCACAATTAACGTGTAGATCCATACGTACCGTTCTCCACAGTTTCTGCGTTTTCACTGTGACAGAAGTGGCAGTCACAATCAGATGCGAGATGGAGACCATTATTCCCAGCACAACGGCCAACAGTGTCCGCACCGGCAGGAGCGCATAGGCGACGAAGGTGACCAGGATGAGCTGCCACATGCCTTGCTCCGGGGACGTCGGGGGCTCCATCCCCATCGCGCCCAGCGAGAAGGGACAGCAGAGGAAAGAGAAAGTGAAGCCAAAGAGCAGCGTCAGGTTGACAATCTGTTGGAGCTGAGTCACTTGCAGGTACTTGACATTAGTTACGATGAACAGGGAGACGAAGATGACACAGTGGACCGGATGGGACCCCTTGGAGATGGTGAGGCTGGGGCCGGACAGCAACTCCACCACGGCCAGCGTCGAGGACATGAAGATGAGCACGGCCAGGGCTTTGAGAGTGGACGTCTGCTCCAGCTTCAGGTTGTAGTTCTGGAACAGGGACTCGAGCTCCTTGCAGTCGAACTCGTCCTCGCACGCGATGGTGGTCAGGGGGACGCCCGGTGGACAGTGACTTCTCTTCCGCCTGGTTTTGACTTTCTGAAACGGTATTTCCTCCATGTCAGTGCCATTCATAAACTGAATACCTGCTCACAGCTGAGGTCAAACGGAACACCGGATCCCACGCCGACACGGACCGGAGCCAACGGTTTAACAAATAAAAAGAGAGGGAGAGAGAAAGGCAGAGAGAGAGAGAGGGGGAGAGAGAGAGAGAGACGCGCACAGACAGGCAGAGCGTCCCAGATAGGCTAGACTGGCCGGTGGCCACAAGACGCACTCCACACTATCCACAGGTTGAATTGTGTTGTTCGGACAGATCAGCTGCCACAGAAACCTTCATGCTCCGGCTGTATCCGCGTACGATCTTCAAAATACACCTCTCAGATGTTTTCGTTTGAGCACCACATGAAGAGCAGCGCACACGACGTCTAGTTCAGACGGGAAAAGCTTTTTTTTTGCGGGGCTCAGATAGGATCACGCCTGCGCATTATGAGGTGAAGATAAGACAGGTCTCAGCTACTCAACGCACAGTCAAGACGATTTGACTGGTGCGACTGCAGAGCTCCCTTCAGCAGTCTCACAGAGCAATGCCTGCATCATCCACAATGTCCTTTTCGGTTCCACCTACACATGACATGTTTCCATCATTAAAGCCTGCGCAATTAAATTTTCTGCATATATTGATTCATTTATGCTCTACCCCTTTTCCTGTCTCCTTCACATGCATTAACGCAGAAGAGGAGGGGGGAATAAGCAGAACTAATAGATGCACTGTATGTCAATGTTTTCAGACCATGATTCATGAAATTCTCACTAGAGATCCTCCTAAGCTGGCAGCAGCACTGCATTTTGCTTGGCACGGACATGGGACATCATGCTTGCATACCATTCATCATATGATTTCTGTGTTGCCAGTGAGGCAGCCACCCTCGCCACCAGCACCCTCTTGGCATTCAAGGGGTGGTGTCTCATTCATTACCAGGGGAAGATTAGTCATCCGTCACAGGCTGCCGTTGCCATCACCCGTCAGTGCCAGTGAGGGTGTAAGAAAGTGACAGATGGATGCCAAAGTCCAGCACTCGACCATGCTACCAGGACACTAACATGCCTTCTGTTCCCCTCCCATAGCTCCCTCTCTCTCTCAGCTGTTAGTATTTCTAGCTTTCACTGATGTAACTCAGCTATTGAATGAGTGTATACAGTGTGACAGGTAAACAAAGAGAGAGAGAAATGGATGGGGTGCGGGAGTGGAAATAGAAACAGAGAAGTAAAGTATTTGGCAGCTGACCAAAAGACAAGACGAGAAAAGAAGCGGTGTTCTATAAAAGAGAAGCAAAGCATCAAACCCAGTGTTTTGAGATGAGATATGAGACATTTGAACATGCTGTATGCCAATCTGGAACAGGTTCTCTGAGTACAAAAAGCTCAAGTGAGTTGATGCTGTATTAAAGCTGAAACGATTAGTTGATCAGTTGATTAGCAGAGTGACAGGAAGTTGATCTGCATCAATTTGACAATCAATCGATCAATCAATCAATCGTTTGAAGTCAATTATCAAGCAAAGACAGCAAATATTCTCTGGTTCCATCTTCTCAAATGTGAGCATATACTGACTTTCTCTATCTCACTGTAAACTATACCTTTCTTTGGACATTTAAGGTGTCATCTTGGGCTTTGGGAAATTGTTACGGACATTAGACCAAACAAACAATCCAAAAACAATCTAATAATCCTAGCTGATATCAACTCTTAAATCTTAAACAGTCTTGCAAAATCCTCGCTGTCACACTAAATGACTTGTCAGGCTACAGCTCTATTGTTGTGTCCATAACAGTGGCCCTTTCCTTCCCCTCTTTCCTGCCTGCCAGTCTCACTCCTCTGTGTTATCTATCCCTGCTCCTCTGAGAGAAAGATGTGGGACGCAGGATGTAGGACACATTGCTTTTAGCCTGATATTCTGTCTTATCTACAAGGATTTTACTCTTGTCACTTTCCCCTGGACTTTATTAGGTGACACACAAACACTCCTGTGTTACTGCAGTTTGCCTATCAGTGACAAGGATACTGTAACAAGCCTGAGCCTGTCATAAAGGTGATATGCAAATTTAACAGAACCGTGTTGCCATTCATAGTCCGTTGACCAGAGTGTAATTAATCTGGCATTGATCTTCTGTCATCACCCTGATCAATATTTCAATATTCCTTGTGTAGTAGCTCCTAAATTAATCTCAATAATAAGCGCTGCTGTTTTGCAATTTTGCAAGACATCGCACATTCCTTTTTATGCAAATGTCAAACATGCATTTCGAACAAGATGAAAATCTGACATCCAAATTGCCATTTGTGTATCTGCACATGCAGGTCTGTACTTTTTTTTGGGGTGTGACTGCAGTCGATTGACAGCTTGTTTCTCTGCATCTGTGTGGAGGCGTGTAGTATTTCCAGGAGGACCTCTTGGCCTGTTTGTGGCCAGGAACATTTGGGGATGAGAGCAGACGGGCGTCGTACGGTATAAAAGTGTTATTCCCTCCGCTTCTGATGGCTTCAGGTGTAAGTGCACGGTCACACTCTGCTAGCCCTCATCTTCTGAGAACAAAGCGAGGTCTTAGGGGAGTTCACACCACAAAGCTGCACTCCAAGGGCATCGGACAAGGAGACAGCAGCCTGCTCCCTGCTGCGTGCCTCGCTACAAAAAAAACATCTTCCACTTCCTACTCCTATGTCTGTCTTTCTATTTCTGTCCTTTGCTCTTTCATCAAACAAAAAAGCAACCCTCTCAGACTGAGAGACATGAAACAGCTGAGCATCTGAAATGATGTAAAACAGCTGATTATGTATCTGACATATTTACATAGCTAAAATCGTTATTTGAATAACAGCTTGATGACTCAACAGCTTGAGCTCTCTGGAGCAATTAAAATCTTCTCCGCCACATGTCAGTTGTGTAGCCTCTTTCCAAAAGCTGATCTATAGCACATAAGAGATCTTAGCAAATGTTTCATGTTGGGCCTGTAGGTCATGTCTCAAATGCGGCTTCTCTTGTCAATTGAGCAGGAAGAAATGTATCTTCACCTCTTCAAAAATTGCTTCAAAAAGATTTACACAGCCTTTAATTCTGCAACCAGCAGGATGTTTGTGTGTGTGGAAACGGATAACTCACACAACACTGGTTAGGTCCAGGAGGGGGGGACACAATAGGATAAAAAGCAGAGCATATGAAAAAGCCTGTTCAGAACTGCTGCCTCCATCTAAATAGCGCTTTACACTCGCTGTCATCAAGTGATCATCTGTAATGATAGCCCAGCAGCCGGCAAGTCCCACCAGTGTCCAGATGTGGTTGAAGCATTGCTGGTCTTATAATCACAGACACATTGGCTCAACACCAGCAAATGAAACAGCCAAGCCAGACCCAAGAGGGACTGGAAATGCATGTTGTGAATTAGCTAGTGTCAGCCTTAATTAAAATGTGCTAAGAAAAAAACACCTTTTCTCACAATCATCAGTCAGGTGTGCTGCTCCTGCTTTCCTCAGAGAAACGGCTATATCTGGGAAATCGTATGAAAACTACACAAGAGTGTGAGAGTATAAGGTGGTGCATATTGGTGTGCATGGTATTTTGTTACATTACTTTTACAACATGGTGATAAATCGGTTGCTTTTCCTCTACTTATGAAATAGAATAGAAAGTATAAATCAAATATGGCCACAAGTCAGCTATTTTTCACATAAACTTAAAAGAAATGAGCCCAAATAAAGCCTTGAGCAGGAACCTGCAGAACTCCATTTGTCAAGGCTGAAAACATAATACACACATAATTACCAAATCAAAACTGGACTCGGGGAAAAAAATCCACAAGCTTATCCTTCATTCTGCACTGGGTATGATTTGTCCCCTCTCCAAAACATGTCTACGGTCACAACAGATAAATGTTACTCCAGATGATTCAAATAATTCATCTGTTGATGCACTTGTCAGTTCAGTGACAACAAGGTCATCGAACAGGTTCTGACTGTATTTTAAAACGCTCACAGAACAAAATCCCCCAAAAATTAAGCTGTTTGTCATGGAAGTATCGCTTAAGACTGTTGAGAGAGAGATTATCTATCAGACATTCTCAGGTAGAAAGATGATGGCACAAAACTTTAACAGCCAATTACTGCTGTTTTGCTTTTAGTATCCTCTTTTGAAAGAACAACTGTGTCTATAATAGCTGGAGGTGCATTATTAACAACACATTGTTTTATCTCCTCCCAGTGGACTAAGAAATTATTTTGGGCATCAAAGGATAATATATGGAATGTGCAAAAAACATGGTTTAACAGATACATTACATTATCCAGCCTTTGATCTTAGATGTCTTTTCTTCCTAAAAAAATAGCATATTTTTCAATAATATATGTGAGAGGATAAATGATAGAGGTATTTGAAAAGGCAAATCATGTGTGAATTATAACTAAATATTGAAGGTAGCCTCTGTAAAAGTCAATATTTTGTATAAAAGTTTCCATGAGAGGCTATGGTTGAACCTTGATAAGGCGTTACTTAGGAAGAGTTGATAACCACTGACTTAGAGTAAAGTGACACTGACAAATTTTTATATATCTTGACCGTAAAATGCTAATCGAACATGGGTTGCGAGGGAAAGGTTGTCAGAAATAACACATAAACCATTTCCATCAAATGTAATCCTGATGCATCACCTTCCTTTCCCCAAACATTCTACATGATGTTATCCCGTTTTCTCGCATGACAGCTTGCTGATTGCAACCTTTTGTTTATCAACCTACACATCTCCGTCTCCTCCATTACAGACAACACCACCCTTCTAATCTTCCACTCACATCAGCATTGCTAATAAGCCCGACAGCTAGAGTATACTGTTTATGGACACATTTATTTCACTTGCTGACAACAGAAAAACTGTGTAAAGAAAGTGACATTCTCGTTCTTCATGTACGTTTTAAGGTGTAGATTACTGTTTGGCTGCTTCCTGTGCAACAGCTCAATCTTGTGATGCAGATAGATCGGGGCTATGCTATTTTAAAAGATTGTACTGTAGACCTGAATTCAAAGGAGAAAACGAGTGCAGGGTAGAAACCCCAACAACACTTAACACTGAAAAATGAAGAAGCAAGGTCAGAAGCTTGTTTATAATGACAAGAAGTAACAACTGTGCCTGTTTCGCATTTGTGTCTGTGTGCAAGCTTATAATGGATCAATAGCCATCAGGTGCATGAGATTCAAGTGCAGCACCCTCCCATTGTGAAATCCTCTTAAAGCTTCTGATAGTTCAAGTAATCTGGGAGAGGCAATGTGTGAGTGTGTATCGGTGTGCATGTGTGTTTGTGTTTGCGTGTTTGCGTCCAGTCCATGTGCCTTGTCCCCTCCCACAAGGGCTGTCTTCCAAAGTATCACGTGCCACGCTGA